TCTCCCAAGAGAGATATCTCTTGCCTTTTCCCAACTGGCAAGCAGTCTCTCACTAATCTTCTTCTGACTTGTTATGACTGGAGGCTTGAACTGAGCGTTAGCCAGAGTGTATTGTGCCAAGACAGCTTTGGTCATATCACTGGCAATGTCTTTGTTTGTGTAAGTTCTTTGGTTCTTTTCACTGATTTGCCTGATTAAAACACCGTATCTCAAAGCATCTCTCAATGTAGGCAACTCCGACTTCAGGAGCTCTCTCCCAGACCCAAGATAGTGACTGAGATGGCTGGATTTTTGGTTCTCGTCCTGACACAAGCAGCCATCGCAAATATTATCAACTTATAAATGCATCAGAATCTGAAACAGAAAAAAATATTGTTAGTTGGGTTGTTAAAGAATGAAGTCAGAAAGCAATGTTCACTATTTAATTGTAATGCACTAATGCAGCTGTACGTTAGATTTTCGATAAATTTCACGCTAAAATTTACCTAGCAAAAGGTTGCAACATATTGAAACTAAAATTATTTTCTATTTATATACACTAAAATCTACCAAAAAAGTGATGGGCCATTAGTTTTAGCTGATCTTCCCTCCTATGACACACCCTAATGCACAGGCCAACCGGCCTATTGCATATCCTTATTTTCTTAAGTTCTATGTTATGTACTATACCCCCACACCGATGAGCCACATACTATACCCCCACACACATGAGCCACTTACTATACCCCACACATGAGCCACATAATATACCCCCACACACATGAGCCACATACTATACCCCTACACACATGAGCCACATACTATACCCCCACACATGAGTCACATACTATATCCCCACATATGAGCCACATACTATACCCCCACACATGAGCCACAAACTATACTCCCCACACACATGAGCCACATACTATACCCCACACATGAGCCACATACTATACCCTACATATGAGCCACATACTATACCACCACACATGAGTCACATACTATACCCCACATTATTAGCCACATACTATACCCCCCACACATGAGTCAAATAAACTATACCCCCACACATGAGCCACATACTATACCCCCACACATGAGCCACATGCTATACCCCACATATGAGCTTCAAGCATACTATACCCACACATAAGTCACATACACACCCCACACATGAGTCACAACTGTACCATCACACACATGAGCCACATACTATACCCCAACACACATTAGCCACATACTATACCCCCACACATGAGCCACATACTATACCCTACACATGAGCCACATACTATACTCCCACATATGAGCCACATACTATGCCCCCATATGAGCCACATATTATACCCCACACACATGAGCCACATAATTATACCCCCACACATGAGTCACAAACTATACCCCCACACTCATGAGTCACATACTTACCCCCACACATGAGTCACACATACTATACCCCACACATGAGCCATATACTATACCCCACACACATGAGCCACATACTATACCCCACACACATGAGCCACATACTATACCCCTGGCCACATGAGTCACAAACTATACACCCACCCATGAGCCATATACTATACCCCCACACATGAGCTACATACTATACCCCCACACATGAGCTACATACTATACCCCCATATGAGCTACATAATATACCCCACACACATGAGCCACATATCATAAATTCCACACATGAGTCACAAATTACACCCCACACATGAGTCACAAACTATACCCCCACACATGAGTCACAAACTATACCCCCACACATGAGCCACATACTATACCCAAACACCCATGAGCCACATACTATACCCCCACACATGAGCCACATACTATACCCCCCATATGAGCCACATACTATACCCCCACACATGAGCCACATACTATACCCCCACACATGAGTCACAAACTATACCCCCACACATGAGCCACATACTATACCCACACACATAAGCCACATACTAATCCACCTCTCATGAGCCACATAATATACCCCCACACATGAGCCACATACTATACCCAAACACACATAGCCACATACTATACCCCACACATGAGCCACATACTATACCCCCCATATGAGCCACATACTATACCCCCACACATGAGCCACATACTACCCCCACACAAGCACAAACTATACCCCAACACATGAGCCACATACTATACCCACACACATAAGCCACATACTAATCCACCTCTCATGAGCCACATAATATACCCCCACACATGAGCCACATACTATACCCACACACATAAGCCACATACTAATCCACGTCAACTACATGTCAAACTATACCCCCACATGAGCTACATACTATACCCACACATAAGCCACAAATCCACGTCACATGAGCTACATACTACACCCCTCACATGAGCCACATACTATACCCCCACACACATGAGCCACATACTATACCCCCACACACATGAGCCACAGACTATACCCTACACATGAGCCACACACTATACCCCCCACACATGAGCCGCATACTATACCCCCACACATGAGCAACATACTATACCCCCACACATATGAGTCACATACTATGCCTATTCACACGAGCCACATACTATACCTCTACGCATAAGCCGCATACTATACCCGCTCACATGAGCCATATACTATACCCCCTCACATGAGCCACATACTATACCCCCCATACACATGAGCCACATACTACTCCTCCACACATGAACCACATACTATACCCCTACACACATGAGCCAGATACTATACCCCGACACATGAGCCACATACTATACCCCCTCACATGAGTCACATACTATACCCCCTACACACATGAGCCGCATACATGAGCCAAATACTATACCTATTCACACTAGCCACATACTATAATCCCTCACATGAGCCACATACTATTCCTCCACACACATTAGCCACATACTCTACCTCCACACATGAGTCACATACTATATCCCCACACATGAGCCAAATACTATACCACCTCACATGGCCCACATACTATACCCCCTCACATGAGCCTCATATTATGCCCCCACACACATGAGCCACATACTATACCCCCACACATAAGCCACATACTATACCCCCACACATTTGTCACAAACTATATCCCCACACATTAGCCACATATTATACCTACACGCATAAGCCACATACTATTCCCCCACATGGGAGCCACATACTATACCCCCACATATCAGAAACATACTAAACCCCCACACATAAGCCACATACTATACCCCCACATGGGAGCCACATACTATATTATGAGACACATTCTATACCCCCACACATGAGTCGCAAACTATACCCCACACACATAGAGCATACTACCCCACACACAGAGCCACATACTATACACACACATGAGCCACACTATGAGCATACTAACCCCCACATATGAGCCACATACTATACCCCATACATGAGTCGCAAACTATACCCCACACATATGAGCCACATACTCTACCCCCACACATGAGTCACAAACTATACACACACACATGAGCCACATACTATACCCACACATGAGCCACATACTATACCCCCACATATGAGCCACATACTATACCCCATACATGAGTCATAAACTATACCCCCACACATAGGAGCCACATACTCTACCCCCACACATGAGTCACAAACTATACACCCACACACACATGAGCCACATACTATACCCCACACACATGAGCCACATACTATACCCCCATACATGAGCCACATACTATACCCCCACACATGAGCCACCTACTATACCCCCACACATGAGCCACATACTATAACCCCACATATGAGCCACATGCTATACCTCACATATGAGCCACATACTATACCCCACACATGAGTCACAAACTATACCCCCACACACATGATCCACATTCTATACTCCTACGCACATGAGCCACATACTATACCCCCACACATGAGCCACAAACTATACCCTAACACATGAGCCACATACTATACCAACACACATAAGCCACAAACTGTACCACCTCACTTGAGCCACATAACTATATCCCCACACATGAGCCACATACTCTACCTCCACACATGAGCCACCAACTATACCCCCACACATGAGCCACATACTATAGCCCCACACATGAGTCACAAACTATACCCCCTCACATGAGCTACATACTATACCCACACTCATAAGCCACATACTATACCACCTCACATGAGCCACATACTATACCACCTCACATGAGCCACATGCTATACACCCATGCACATGAGCCACATACTATACCCCCACACACATAAGATACATACTATACCTATTCACACGAACCACATACTATATCTCTACACATAAGCCACATACTATACCCCCTCACATGAGCCACATACTATTCCCCCTCACATGAGCCACATACTATACCCCCACACACATGAGCCACATACTACCCTCCACACATGAGCCACATACTATACCCCTCACATGAGCCACATACTATACCCCCACACATGAGCCACATACTACACCTTCACACATGAGGCACATACTATACACATGACCACATACAATACCACCACACACATGAGCCACATACTATACCCTCACACATGAGCCACATACTATACCCCCACACACATGAGCCACATACTATACCCCCACACATATGAGCCACATACTATACCTATTCACACGAGCCACATGCTATGGCTCTACGCATAAGCCACATACTATACCCCCTCACATGAGCCACATACTATACCTTCTCACATGAGCCACATACTATACCCCCACACACATGAGACACATACTAATCCTCCACACATAAGTCACATACTATACCCCCTCACATGAGCCACATACTATACCTTCTCACATGAGCCACATACTATACTCCCACACACATGAGACACATACTAATCCTCCACACATGAGCCACATACTATACCCCCTCACATGAGCCACATAATATACCCCCACACACATGAGCCACATACTACACCTTCACACATGAGCCACATACTATACCCCGACACATGAGCCACATACCGTACTCCCATATATGAACAACCTGGTTAAGACCGCCAATCTCTGACGTCCAGTAGCCCAGGAGCTTTGAGTGAGCCGTCCTGAGGTGAAATTCTTCAGCCGTGAGCGCCAGGAAGTCCTTCATCTGTTGATTATTATTATTATTGAAATTATTATTATTATTATTATTATTATTATTATTAACGTGGTATTCGACTACATTTTCATGGAAGAAATTTATCGTCAAAAGTTTGCATCAACTATTTCCTCTAAAGTTAAATGTGGCCCGAGTGTAGTTTACCTACAGACTATTCTGGTATAAACTGCTGTGAGTTGACAATGCAGCAGGGCGGATCCAGGGGGATCCTGGGATCCGGATCCCCCTTTTCACCAGAAAAGTCCAATACTTTTTCTTTAATTCCATTTTGTACTCTGGTATTTTTGCATAGTAAAAAGTAATTATTATATTGACCTCAGAATATCTTCTAATATCAAGTGCACATGGCTTCAAAATGGCCTTAAAATGCCCATGATATTGGTCAGATTTCAAACAAATTTCTTGGAGGCTCACAGCGCCTCCCCCTAACCCAGCCTAATGGGCGAGCTGTGCTCGCCATGTTCCCCCACCCAAAACTTCTTGGACACCCCCATTTGAGATTCCTGGATCCGCCCCTGTGCAGTAAGCGTCGTGCGTCAATGTGGAGATTAAAATTCACTGTCGATACATGACTTTTAAGGGTTTCTGCTCCTCTTGATAAATGGATGAATAGAATTTTAGGATGGCGTGAAGATCAGGCAACCTCGCTTGTTTCACCTGATAATTAAACACTCTAACGCTTCCTGGAGGTGGGGGTGGGTTAGATTAGGTTATATTGAATTATATTACCTTGCGTTAGCATTAGAGCGGTTAATCTTAAGGTGAAGTTACCTGGGCGCTGCTGGGGTGTTTAAATCTTTCCTCTCGGTCGGGAGGCCTACAACCATTCCCAAATGACAAGATTTATATATTTTTTTATTTTTTGAGTTGTGCTCATTGCTGTGATTGACCATCCAAAGGCCAACCAGAGAGTGTAGTATTGTGCCTTTAGTTAAGACAGTTCACAGCGACACCAGTGACCACGGACGAGGTTGTAAATAATTTAAAGTGAAAAACAAATTAGAGCAAGCAATTAAGGCACCACTGCCAGCAGTAACCAAGTCGTATTATTGGTGCCACAAAGACTTATTTTTTTGTGTGTGTGCATTCTCAAGGACTGAAACTGTGCCTACAATCCACCATTTATTGGGAGATACTGTGTACACAGTGATAGCACAAAGAGATATATTCGTTGATGAGAACTGGAAAGGAAAATATAAGGAAATAATGGTTTAAAAAAGGCCATGATATCCAGAACGTCATTCTATTGCCGCCAAGGAGAAAGTTTTGTTTGTTTGTTTTTGTTTTGTTTTATTTATAAAGGACCGAGTGGGCATATGATCCGTCATCCATAGCAAGATACAGTGTACATAGGGATAGCACATAGATACCAACAACTCGTCGAGGAGAACTGAAAAAAAAAAACCAGAAGATAACTCAAACTGTCTTGGACGGCAACACTGGACGAATGAGGGGAGTTTAAAACCAGCAGAGGGCAGCTAAGTTTTGTTTTTTCTTTTTTCTTTTTAAATAACATTGAATTGCCACAAGGGCACGATCACTCCCACATCTCACTTTATTTAGACTTCAATTAGTAGATGTGATTATAACGGAAGTCATCCCACTGAGGGGAAAAAATTCTTGGTCAGAAGAAATTAATTATGCTAGCCCAGGGGGTGGCCCTAGTCATAACGGCCTATACCCAGGCAGCGGAGCAGGGTTTTTAAGGGGACCTTGACGCTAATGCCCTGCTACCAAGACACAGATTAGAAGCAATTATCATAGTAGTAATAAGGATCACTACTATTATTAATATTAAGCCGACGATTAGAAGTACATCGCACGGTAAACTGGTGGTCTTAAGGCTGTGTAGATCTGTACAGAATCTGCACGACCCCCCACCCTCCTCCCCAAAAGCAACAACCATGAGGGGTATGAAACCTGGGGCTGAAGCGGCACCAGGAAATCTATTGACATGTGATAACTGCAGGGCGACGACAGTTGTAGATTGTACAGACCTGACGAGTGAGAGTTCAATGGTTGGTTGTGGATTCGCAACGTGAACGTCTTTTGTTTGTGACGTCAGGGGCGCTGGTGGTAGAAGCGGTACCGCTCTTGCCTCGCAAGCAAGACGTCACGGGTTCGATTCCCGGGCCGGCGGAATTTGTTTGGACACTCTTCCTAGTCCCTTTGGTCCCTGTTCACCTAGCAACAAAGTAGGTATCTGCTGTAAATCGAAAGTTGCGAGTTCGTATTCAGGGACAAGTTGTTGGAGCTTCCAATAACTTGCTTAGAAATAAACCATTGACTCTTCAGGCTTCTACGCCCTTGACTCTTCAGGCCTCTACGCCCTTAACTCATGAGACATAAGGCAAGCATGAACTTAGCAGGCTTCCCTGTTGGGCGCTGTAAACGCTTCTGCGCTTCACCTTACACAAGGATATACGGTGGGGTTCCCCAAAGAGTCGTGGATTGTTATAATTGAAATTAACCTCACTGGGTCAGCTCGTTCATGACTTCTTTATCAAGTAAGTTTGTCAATAGCTGAGATTAGTGAAAGAAAGAATTTATTTGGGCACGTGTAGACTCATTCCTGAAACATATAAGTGGAATTTAGGACATTTATGAAAGAACTGTTGCAGTCGTATATAAATTTGTTTTTCGTTGAGGTAAAATGTGGCGGAAGGTGGACCAAAATGATCTAGTGGATAGACTTTTTTGAGGGAACTTTGTTCGGTTGATTTAAAGACTGTGGATTCAAAAGAACTCGCCAAAAGATATACAATTATTACTTAGGAGAGAGATATTGGCCAATGTCCATAAAGCTGCGCGATGGCTGATAGCTATGCCCTTACTCTGAAATGCATCCTGGTAGATCTAAAATAGTTCAGGTGGAAAAAGGGTTTTATAACCAGGAGGAAAAATTGGTGAAAGGCAGGATAGTGAGTGCTGGCTAGTAAAATGAAATTTTTTCTGTTGAAACTCGGGTGGCTTTCCAAGACTATCACCAAAACTAAGCATTTGTGTTTTTGCAAAACCTTGAATCATGTGGCTGCGGGTGCCCCTAAGTGGAAGCAAAAAGGAAGGCAATGCTCTGTTCAGACCTCTGAAGTTGGCACAAAACTTTAATTAGTAATCATGGCAAAATTCTTTTTAGACCTTTCATGTTTGATGGTTCAGTTGCAGTTGAAAAATCGGTAGTCAGTACCTTACTGATTTTTGCGTGACACAGGTGCTTCTCTGATGTTCTTATTAAAAGTAATCTATTCCTCATATGAGAAGATTCTATACTGGAAGGCGTATTTGGTGCTTAAGGTTGTAGGTGGGGAACGATACTGTTCCTTTGTGTTTGGTGCTTGCGAACTCCACCATAGAATGGTTGGATGACTGTGAGTGTTCAAGATTCTCTTCTTGTGACAGGGGTTACTTTTTTGCTG